GCGGGGGGCCCGCGCCGCCGTCGTCGTCGTCGTCCTCGCCGCCGCGTTGGGCCGCCGCGAAGCGCGCGGACGCGAAGCGCGCGGCCCCGGCGGCGGCGTCGCAGAAGCGGCGCACCGCGGGCTTCGCGTTCGGCGGGCACGCCACCACCGCGACGTCCGGCGCGCCGAGGCACGCGGCGTCGCAATTCCGCGCGTCGCGGACGTCGACGTCGGCGAAGAACGCGTCGTCCGCCGCGCGGACGACGTCGACGAGCACGGCCACGAGCCGCGCCGTCGGCCCGTCGGGCGCGACGACGAGCGCGGCGTTCCGCGGCGCGCCCGCGCGCGCGAGCTGGGACGCGGACCGCCGGAGGCACTCGACGGCCGCGGCCGCGAAGCCCGCGTGGACCCGGGCCCCGCGCAGGCTCCGGAAGGCGACGCCGACGTCCTTGGCGCCGTGGGCCGCGACGCCGTAGTCCGCCTCGCTCAGGCGGCGGCCGACGCAGTCGCCGACGACGTCTGCGACAGCGCCGAGCGTCGTGCCGCAGCGCCGGTAGCGCGCGTGCAGCGGCGCCGTCGCCCGGCGGCCGGCGCCGTCGACGGGCCGCACGTCCACCGCCGGGGGCAGCGCCGCGCCCCGGTAGCGGCCGCGGAGGCGCGACGCGTCCGCGCCGGCCGGCGCGGCCTCGCCGGCCGAGAGCACCGCGGCGCCGGCGACGCGCGCGCGCGCCGCGGCGACCTCGTGGGGCTTCAGCAGGTCGACGTCGTCCAAGGCGAGCGCGTCGAAGACCGCCGCGTTCTGCGGCAGCCAGCGCGCGAGCGCCGCCGGCGTCGCGAGGACCTGTGTGGAAATCAAATCTTCAACCCGACTTCAATGTGCGCGTATGCGACGGTTTCGACACGAGCTCTTCTGCCGCGCTTCGAGAACTCAACGAGAGCAGTCGATTCGTCCAAAAGTCAGCCGAATCGACATCGATTTGACCGAGCTAGAGAATTCTGAAGTTTGGTCAGGACCACCCAAACCAGCGATTGATTTCCACACAGGCGAGGACGACGGGCGCGGCCGCCGCGAGCAGCTCCGGCCAGCCCTCGAGCGTCCGGAACCCGGCCGCGAGCGACGCGCCTTCCGGCGCCTCGCCGCGGCTCCCGAAGGCGCGGAGCGCCGCGGCGGCGCCGCAGGTCGCGAGCCGCTCGACGGCCTCGCGCCGCGCGCCGAACGCCGCGCCGCGGCGCGCGAGCACCGCGCGCGCCGCGGCCTCGGCGGCCTCGGCGTTCGCGCGCCGCGCGAGGGCGCGGGCCTCGTGGGTCTCCGGGAGCGCGTCGCCGTCCTCCGCGGCGGCGTCGTCGGCGGTTTCGCCGACCGGCGCGAGCCGCGCGCCGGAGACCGTCGCGGCGACGGCGGCCGCGAAGTCCGCGTCGCCGTCCGGCGCGCCCGGCAGCGTCGCCACGGAGCCCCGCGGCAGGCCGCTCGCGGCGAGGCGCGCCGCGACGGCGCGCAGGGACCGCCGCGACCGCGCGATCACTAAGACGGCGTCGTCGGCGGCGCGCCGCGCGGCGACGGCGGCCGCGAGCGCCGTCGTGCGGCCCGCGCCGCCGGGCCCGGCGCGGCGACGGGCACGGCGTCCGCGAGGGACCGCTCGTCGTCACGGAGGTCGTCTACGGCCGCGAGGCGCAGCGCGACGTGATCGCCGCCGTCGTCGTCGCCGAGCGGGTTCGCGGCCCAGCCGCCGACTAATCGCAGGCGCGCTCCGTCGAAGGCCGCGGCCGCGACGGCCGCGGGCGACGCGCCGCCGTCGGCGAAGAGGCCAAGCAACAGGCACTCGGCCCGGGGCGGCGCCGCGGCGAGGAGCGCGCCCGCGCGGCGCGCGACCGTCGCCGCGAGCGCCGGCGCGGCCTCGTAATTGCGCGGCTTCGCGAGCCGCGCGCCGCCACGGAGCGCCGCCGCGGCGGCCGCGACGGCGTCCGCGTCGCCCTCGACGAGGGGCGCCCAGTCGTCGTCGCGCTCGAGCGCGCGCCGCAGGCCGCCCGCGCGGTCGCAGAGGTCGCCGGCGGCCGCGAGGTCGGGCCGCGTGTCGACGGCCGGCGGCTCGTCCGCGGCGCCGCGGGGCCCGTCGAGGCCCGCGTCGAGGCACGCCGTCCAGCAGTCGATGGCGTCCGCGGCGTCCGCCGGCGCCCAGGTCGCCGGGTCGCGCGGCGCGACGGCGAGCGCGCCCGTCGCGGCGTCGGTCGATATCGCCGGCGCGGCGTCCCACATTGTTCTCGCTGCTTCTGCGGCGCGCCGCCAGGGCCCCGCGCCGCCGGCGCCGTCGGCGAGGAGGAGGGCGACGAGGTCCGAGCTCAAAGGCTCGAGGAGCGCGGGGATCCGCGCGACGCGGCCGTTCAGAGCGGCGACGAGCGCGCACGGGCACGGCGCGGCCGGCGCGGCCGCCGACGCCGCGAGCGCCGCGTCGAGGAAGTCGACGTACGCGAGGCCGCCGCAGCGGAAGGTCCCGTCGTCGCGCGCGGCGAGCGCCAAACGTCCCGCGCCCGCGCCCGCGCACCGCTCGAGCCGCGCGTCCGCGCCGGCGACGGCCTCCGCGAAGGCCGCGCCGTCGAGCTCGAGCCGCGCGGAGACGCCGTTCGCGTCGAGCGACGCCCGGCACGTCGCGACGCCGCGGCCCGACCACGCGAGCGCGCGGGCGCTCGGGGGGATTATGTGCGCCGCGTTGTTGATCGAATACGCGCCTTCGCAAAACGCGGCGCCGTCGAGGCACGCGAGCGCCTCCCGCTTGTCGAGGACGCGGCGCCAGTCCTGCTCGGGGAACGGGCGGTGCTCGATCGTTGCATCGTCGTCGAGGGCCTCGAGGGCGGCTCGGAGTGTCGCGACGGCCGCCATCACGTTGGAGTTTTTCGAGCGGCAACAGGGCAACTACACTTCACCAAACGGGCTTTCGGCGTGCACGAGGCGGCGTTGGCAGCCCCGGCAGCCTCGCGCCGCCGCCGCGTCGCCGCCATGCCCGAGGTGGACCACGAGCAGGAGGCCATCGACGAGCTGCGCGCGGCCTTCGCCATCTTCGACAAGGAGGGCAAGGGCTTCGTGGAGATCCGCGAGTGCAAGTCCCTCTTCTACACGCTGGGCATCAAGATCACGAAGAGCGCCATCCGCGAGATGATCGAGAAGGACGGCAAGGACGGCCAGAACTCCCTCGACTTCAACGAGTTCTCCGGCCTCGCCATGCCGCTCTTCAAGAAGCGCGTGCTCGTCGACGACGACGCCGACGTCTTCCGACTTTTGGACATCGAGTCCAAGGACAAGGTCACGCTCGAGAATCTGAAGCAGGTCTGCGAGGAGATCGGCGAGTCCATCCCCGACGACGAGCTCAACGAGATCATCGACGAGGCGTCCCGCTACCGCGACGACGGCATCCGGATGGCCGACTACCTCCGCGTCGTCCGCCGGAAGCGCGACGACGACGAGTAGCGGGGGCGCGCGTGTTTGTGTGTGTGTGTCGTGTCGTTGCCGGCGAGAGGTGTGCCGGCGTTTTGGGGGGTTTTGGGGGAGCCGCGGGACGGGGGAGAGGCAGATAGAGACCTTGGTTGAAGTCGTTGGCGCCGACCTTGCAGCCCGCGCTCTTGAGCTCGACGAGGTGGGAGGTGCGCCGGCGTGCCCCAGGCAGCGTCACCAGCACTGCCGAGCTGCTCGCCGCCTCCACGAGCTCCGTCAAGAGAATCACCAGCACCGGAAACGCCGCCTCCACGAGCGCCGTCAAGAGGACTGCGCGTCAATATATACATCATGCGGCCGCTCCTGCTCTTGGTCGCCTGCGGCGCCGTCTGCGACGCCTTCCAGGCGACGCGCGGCGCCCGCGCGGCGCCGGCGCCGCGCGCCCGACCCGCGCCGCGCATCGCCCGGCGCGCGGCGGAATCGGAGGGCGAGCTCGCGGCCTACGGCGCGCTCGGCTCCGCGGCGAGCGTCGTCGTCTTCGTGTCCGAGTTCACGCTGAAGACGACGGGCTGCGGGCTGCCCGCTGGGCCGTTCGGCCTCGTCGGCGCCGTCGAGGGCGTGTCGTACCTGGCCATCGTCGGCATCATCGGCGCGTCGCTGACGAAGAAGGTCCGGACGGGCACGGGCCTGCCCGCTGGCCCCCTCGGGCTCCTCGGCCTCGCCGAGGGCCTCGCGTACCTCGCCGCGGTCGCGGGCTTGGTCGTCCTCGGCTTCCAGCTCGCGGACTACGGCTACGTGCCCAACGCCGTGCCCGTCTCCGGCGGGCTCTGCCAGTAGCGCGTAAGGTCATGTCGCGATGTTGTCGCGCAGGGCCATCGACCATGTTACCCTAGCGCCTCCGGCGCAGCGCGGCCGCCAGCGCGAGCAGCGCGAGGCCCGCAATGGCCGCGCGGCCCGCGCGCCGCCGCGGCTCGCGCGCGCCGACCACGACGAGCTCCGGGAAGCCCGTCGCGTCGTCGTGCTCGCGCACGAAGGTCGCGCCCGCGACCGTCCCCACGACGATCTCCGCGGTCGTGAAGATCTCGCCCGAGATGAGGTGGCCGCCGACGCACGCGCCGGCCGCGTCCGCGAGCCCAATGTGGACGTGCGCGCCGCCGTCGCGCGAGATCGTGCCGACCAACGACGTGATCTCGAAGCGCTGCTCGTACGACCTGATCTCGTTCGGCGAGTGGCGGTCCGCGTTCGCCAGGCGGAGCGTCGCCTTCTGCAGGCTGCCGACGCAGGTCGCGACGTAGGCCGACGCGAGCCCCCGGTCAAAACAGAAGGCCTTCAAGGTCGACAGCAGCTCCTCGCCGGGCCGCAGGCGCAGCGCGTACATGCGTGCGGCGGCAGGCTCGCGAGCGCTTCGAGGCGCTGGAGCGGGTGCACAAGTGCTGCTCTCCGAGGTGGCGTGCTGCGGCGGCAGTCTTGGAGCGCTGGAGCAGGCGCACAAGAGCTGCTTAGAGGCGAGCCATCGAGCTGCAGCTTAGCTGTGCTTGCAAAGCGTGCGGTGCCTTTCTTCAAGCACGCTGGGATGGCAGCCCTCTGGGATGGCCAGCATCGGCCTCCTGGCCCTTCCCGACGACGTAGCGCGCTAGAACGCGTTCTCGCGCTCGCGCGCCGCGCCGAGGCGGAAGGCCATGCAGTCCACGCTGACGACGGTGCCCGCCGGCGGCGGCGGCGCGCGGACGACGGACGAGAAGTCGAGGTCGCGGTAGCCCGGCCCGAAGGCGGCCCCGCCCGCCGGGCCCAGGGGCGCGGCGCCGCCGCCGCGCGCGACGAAGTGGGTCCCCGTCGCCAATGCGCCGCACGCGCACGCCACCCCCGCGCCGTCGCGCGCCTCGAAGTCGCCGGGCACCTCGCCGAGCCGCGCGACGACGTCCGCGACGTCGACGCCCGACGCCGCGAGGCGCGCGTGTTCGTCCGCGGGCGTCGGCCCGCCGCGCGGCACGAGCAGCGCCGCGAGCTCGAGGTGCACGCCGCGGCGCCGCTCGCCGAGGAGCGCGCGGTCGTCGTCCACCAAGGCGCTGCGCTGGTAGAAGTGGCCCAGCGCCGTGAGGCCGCACCCGTCCGCGAGGCCCGCGTCCGCGCCGCGCGCGACGAGCAGCCCGCAGACCGCGAGCGTGTCCTCGAGCGACGTCGCCGCGAAGCCCAGGCGGTGCGCCGCGCACATCAGGGGCGTCAGCCCGTTGGCGTCGAAGCGGTTCACGTCCGCGCCGTGGACGTCCACGAGCAGGGGCACGAGCGGCAGCACGCGCTTCTCCACGGCGACGTGGAGGAGGCACGCGCCGTCGACGCTCGCGCCGGCCGCGACGCGCTCCTCGATCTCCTCGACGACGCGGGCCAGCGCGACACTCGCGGCGCGCTCGTCGGCCGCGTCCAGCGTCGGCGCGAGGCGCAGCAGCACGTCCGCGTGCAGGAGCTCCTGGCGCAGCTCCGCGTCGAGGCCCGCCGGCGCCGCGTCGCGCGCGAGCTCCGCGAGGTCGTCGGCCCGGAGGAGCGCGTCCAAATCGACGCGCGCCGCCGGCAAACGGTCGGCGTCGCTCCGGAGGAGCTCGGGCGTCGCGTAGAGCACGTCGTGGAGCCGCTCGCTCTCGAGGCGCGCGAAGCCGACGCGCGCGAGCGGAAGCGCGTCGTCGCCGCGCGTGGGCACGACGTCGCTGTCCGCGGACGAGTCGTCGGCGCCGGCGTCCGCGCGCGCGACGTAGGTCGCCACGCCGAGCCGCGGCAGCAGGCGCAGGAGCTGGGCCACGGCCTCCGCGGCGACCTCGCCCGCGTAGCGTCCGAAGTCGAGGCGCTCGAGGTGGAGCCACGCGCCGCCGTGGGTCGCGGTGGGCGAGGAGGCGAGCGACGGGTCCCGGATCTTGCCCGACGCCTTGAAGAGCGCGCGGCCGACGTAGGGCAGCGCCGGCGACAGCTCGCCGTGGATGATGGCGTGGAGGCTCGCGCCGCCGAGGTCGCGGCGGTCGATTAACGTGCCCGCGATGGACCCGCGGTCCGCGCCGTCGACGAGGACGCGCGCGCGGACCAGCGTCGCGCGCGGCGACCGGCCGGGGGCGCCGAGCCGCTCGCCCCGGGCGGGCACGAGGTTGCCCGTCGCGTCGCGGTCCAGCAGCTCGACGCGGATCTCGGGCGGCCGCCCGAGGCGCCGCCGCTTCGCGACGGCGTCGATCTCGTCGCTGTGGCTGTCGCCGAAGGTGATGCGCCGCGGCGTGATGAGCGGCGGCGGCGGCGACTGCTCGTCCATCGGGCTTGCGTCTAGAGGACGGGCGTCGAACTAGAGGACGGGCGGCGTCGCACTGGGCAGCCTTCCATAGGGTCCAAACAATTCTTCTCCCGCGCTAACCGTGCACGCAACGTGCCGACGCCGATCCGTCCACGCAAGGGGATATAAATCTACTATTTATTACCCCTTGGTCCACGCGCGACGTCTGCACGATGCGCCTCCGCCTGGGGTCATCGAGGGACGGCGAGGCGAGCGTCGTCGTCCTGGACCCGGCGTCCGGCCTCTGGGTGCCCCTCGTCGACGCCGTCAAGGGCGGCGGCCGCGGCGAGCGGTCCAAGTGGCCCCACGGCGACGGTCCCCTGCGCGACGTCACGGCCTTCCTGGGCCTCGGCCGCGAGAAGCGGCGCGCCGCCGCCGCCGTCGTCGCGGCCGCCGCGGCGACCTGCGGCGGCCGGGAGCCGCCGGCGGACCGCGTGCCGCTCGACGTCGCGAGCTTTCGCGACGCGGCGTTGTACGTGGCCCATATGGCGCAGGCGTCGAAGGGCTTCTTCCCCGTGGCGCTGTCCTGCGGCCACGCCGTGCAGCTCGTCCTCCAGAACATTCTAGGCAAGGCCCTGCGGCTGCCGCGCGTTTTGGGCCCCTGCGGCGTGCCGCCCTTCTACGTGGGCAACCCCCGGACGATCGTCCCGTCCGGCGCGGTCGCGCGGTGGCCGTCCTACGCGGGGCAGGAAAAGGGCGATTCAACGTCGCTTCAACGTGAGTGTTCCGCGCGCGCGCGTTTCGGAAACAGCACCCACGCTTCGAGAGCGCTCCGAGAGATGATCGCTTGTCCAAAAATCAGCCGAAACGAGCGGAAAACGACCGAGAGAGGAGCCTTTGAAGTTGGGAATTTCGCACCCTTTTCCTGCCCAGGTCCTACGTGGGCTGGCTCGACTACGAGCTCGAGGTGGCGTTGATCAACGGCGCGACGCTCGGCGACGACCCGAGCGAGGCGGCCTGCGAGGAGGCCATCCTCGAGTACGGCGGCTTCGTCGGGCGGCGGCGTCCGAGGACGGTCCGCGAAACGCGTCCGGCTCACGCGCGCCCTCGCAGGTGCTCATCAACGACTTCTCCGCGCGCGACGTCCAGGCCGACGAGATGGCGTCCGTGGGCTTCGGCTTCGTCAAGTGCAAGTCCTTCTGCACGGCCATGGGCTCCGACGTCGTCACCGCCGACGAGCTCTGGATGCACACGGACATGGGCAAGATGTTCTGCGGCGAGGGCCTCAAGTGCGAGGTCCGCGTCAACGGCGAGCCCCGGGGCCCGCCGGGCAACACGGCGGCCCGGCGCTGCTGCCTCCTGAGCGACTACGTCAAGCACGTCGCCCTCGGCGAGGGCCTCCACCCGGGCGAGGTGTTGGGCCTCGGCACGGTCCCGGGCTGCTGCGGCCTCGAGATCGGCGAGTGGCTCAAGCCGGGCGACGAGGTCACGGTGGCCTGCGAGGGCCTGGGCACGGTGACGAACACGATCCCCGCGCCGGTGGCGGGGCCCAACTTCCGCGACCTGGGCCGCGCGGAGCACCAGCCGGGGCGCCTCGCGTCCGCGTGGACCTTCCTCAAGCTCGCGTTTCTCGGCCCGCCGCTCGTCTTCGCGGCCATGGTCGGCGGCTTCCTCGGCGCGCTCCTCTGGGCCGGCCCGAAGACGCCGCCGGGCCTCGCGGGCGTCGCCGTGGGGCCGGGCAGGGCCGCGGCCAAGGAGTGGGACGGCGCGCCGGGCGCGGACAACTCAGGCGTCGCGAAGAGCGCCATCATCGACAAGACGACCCTCGCCAAGGCCGACTGAGGGCCCTTGTTTCTCGGACCCCGGCGGCATAAGGAACGCTTAAGGAACGCTAGTCCAGGCGCCTAGACCGCGGCCGGGCTGCCCGAGCGAGTCCAGAAGCGACACCATCGTCGATGGGGGGCTGCACTTGGGGCTGCCTTGAAGCTCTGTTTGAGGGCAACTTTAACCATACATCTGTAGTTGAACACTCTCAGAGCGTGAATGAAGATTGTATGGGATCCATGCCGCGCGGAGCTGCCGCTGCGCGCGGAGCTGCCGTTTCGTGCTTCACGCGCGCCATCTTCCTCGTCCTCGCCTGCGACAGCGCGGCGCCGCCGACTGCGCGGCGCGTCGCGACAAGGCGCACCGTCGCCGCGTCGTCGGTGCTGGCGCTTGGATCGGGCCTCGCCGCGTCGGCGGAGATCATCAACCGGCCGCTCTGCGCCTCGGGCGTCGGCGACGGCTGCGCGGCGCTCGCCGAGGGCACGTCGTCGGAGGCCGCGCTGATCAAGGACCTGCAGGCGAAGAGCGCGGCGAAGAAGGAGCGACGCGCGCGCGAAGCCGTCGAACGCTACTCGGTGAACAACTTCGGCGACTACTTCAGCGCCGCGTTCCCGCCGAAGGCGCTCGTGCGGCACGCCGACGGGACCTACGAGGCGCTCACGCAGGACGTCGTCGCCGCGGGGCTCAAGAACGGCACGATCCGCTACGCGATCCCCGGGGCGAGCGGCGTCGCGGGCTACTCGACGAGCCGCGCGCCCTTCGCCTTCAACGAGCCAGAATAAGAAATCCGGTTACTCCGCGGCGACGACGTCCGCGTAGTGGAGCGCGCCGCCCCAGCGGACGTCGTGGCCCGCGAGCGCGAAGGCGCCGCGGTCCGCGAAGAAGGCCTCGCAGGCCGCCCGGTTGGGCGGCGGCGCGGGCCCGCGGGGCGTGAGGCCGAGCTTCGCGAGGGAGTCGGTCAGCGCGACGCGCGCGCCGGCGTCGAGCGCGGCGTCGAGCGCGGCGGCGGCGCTCGGCGGGCTCAGGTAGAAGAGCACGGCCTCGAAGAGGAAGAGCGTCGGCCGGTCGTCGAGCCCCGCGGCCCGGAGCGCCGCGACGAGGTGGCCCGGCGCCTCGGCCTTGAGCGTCTCGAGGTCGAGGGGCACGTGCGCGACGTCGACGTCCGCGCCGGTCCGCGACCGGTACGCGTCTAATACGCGCTTCTTCGCGTCCACCGCGGCGGGCAGGTCGACCTCGAAGAAGGCCGCGCGGCCGGCGTAGCGCGCCGCGCGCGTGTCGTAGCCCGCGCCGACGACGACGATCTGCGCGTCGTCGTGCTCCGCGAGGAACGCGTCGACGGCCGCGTCGAGGAACGTCGTGCGCGACCCGATCCACTCGAGCTTCTCGACGAGTTTCTCCGGGAGGCGCTTCGCGTTCTCGGGAGCGACGAGCCACCGCGACGCCGACGGCAGGCAGTCGTACGCGACGGAGTCGTCGATGGCGCCGCGGCCCGCGAGCGCCGCGCGCGTCCACAGGACCCTGAGGTTCTTGCTGCTGTCCCGCGCGCCCGTGTCGTCGAAGGCGTAGAGCAACCCGAAGAGCGCGTCGACGGCGGCGTCGATGGCCGGGTTCGTCTCGTCGCGCTGCTTCCGGGGCGGGCCGGCGCCCGCGGGCGGGCCGCCGGGCGGGTTGCTTCGTGCGGCGCCCGGCGGCGGGTTGCCGGTCGTTGCGACGCCGGGCGGCGGTCCGCGCGGTGCCGACAAGGCTGCGGCGCCGGCGAGGAGGGCCGCAAGTAGCAGTCGCGAAGCCATGCCAAGATCGTGATGATCTCGTGATGACCGGACTCGCCACAGCCGCCTCGCCGGGGGTCAGCCAACCGCGCTCGCCAGAGAGACGCTCTCCAGGAGGCGACACCTCCATACCACCTCCGCGGCGCGCACCCACGGCGTGCTGCGCCGTCCCTCGGCGGCTAGCGACCGCGCGGGGTAGCGCGCGCGCGCGCGAACCCCCGGCGGGCAGTCTCGAGAGCGACTTGCGCCTGCTTCGCTGCGCCGTCAGCTCCTGGAAGTGCAGCACCGTCGCCTGGCTGCCGCCGCCGGTCGCCGCGCGTCGACGCAGGAAAACGCACCGATGGACGTCCAGTGCGTGCCCTGCGACTACGACCCGGTCTTCGAGGTGCAGGTGCGCAGCGAGCGCTTCAAGTTCAACGCGTCCCACTTCGTGGCGTTCCGCGGCTTCCGCGAGCGGCTCCACGGCCACAACTACACGGTGGGCGTGCGCGTCTTCGGCCCGCTGTCGCCCGACGACGGCTACGTGCTCGACTTCGGGGACGTGAAGAAGACGGTGCGCGGCGTCTGCGAGACGCTCAACGAGCGGTTCCTGTGCCCGTGCCGGTCGGACGTGCTGGACATCCGCGACGCGGGGCCCAACGTCGAGCTCACGGCCGAGGACGGCGCCTTCTTCTCCATCCCGCTCGGCGACTGCGCCATGCTGCCCATCGTCCACTCGACCGCGGAGGAGCTCGCGGCGATGATCTGGCACAAGACCATCGAGGCGTTCGGCGTCGACATCCTGAAAAAGCGGGGCATCACGGCCATCGAGATCGCCGTCGCCGAGGCGCCCATGCAGGAGGCGCGCTACCGGCGGAAGCTCGCGGGCTTCGCGCCCGGGGCCGCGCCGATCCCCGCGCGCGCGCCAAACGCGGGCTGCGGCGCAAACATCACGCCGGCGGGCTAAACTAGTACTCGAGCTGACGGCATCCCGGGTACCGGCGGAAGCGCCTCGCCCGCGCGCGTGGTTTGCTTCCGTCCACGCCGTCGAAGCAGTCGCCGCGGCGCGCCGCACGGTCCGAGCGTGCGCTCGATCGGCGCGTCCAGATTTCCGAATCGGCAGACCTTCGCCGTCGTGACGTCGGCGCCCGCCGACGCGTGCGATCGAGCTGCCGGCCTCTCCAGGCACGATATACCGCGTCAGGTACTTACGCGGGTGGGCAGTGGCAGGGGGGCCGCTACGAGCGCGCCGACACTCGCAGAGTGTCGGCGCGCGAGCGGGCGGCAGGCCGGTCGGGACCGCGCTTAGGCCTTGACCTTGAGGTCGACGGCGGCCATGTGGCACATGAGGTCGACGACGCGGTTGGAGTAGCCCCACTCGTTGTCGTACCAGGCGACGGTCTTGACGAACTTGGGCGAGAGCATGATGCCCGCGCCGGCGTCGAAGATGGAGGACGTGGGCTCCGTCTCGAAGTCCGTGGACACGAGGGGCTCGTCGCAGTAGCCGAGGAAGCCCTTCATGTCGCCGTTGGCGCGCTTCTGGATCTCGGCGCAGATCTCCTCGTAGGACGTCTCCTTGGAGAGGAGGCACGTGAGGTCGACGACGGAGACGTCAGCCGTGGGCACGCGGAAGGCCATGCCCGTGAGCTTGCCCGCGACGTCGGGGATGACCTTGGCGACGGCCTTGGCCGCGCCCGTGGACGAGGGGATGATGTTGCCCGACGCGCAGCGGCCGCCGCGCCAGTCCTTGTTGGACGACGCGTCGACGACCTTCTGCGTCGCCGTCATCGCGTGGACCGTCGTCATGAGGCCCTCGTCGATGCCGTAGGCGTCGTTGAGCGCCTTGACCATGGGCGCGAGGCCGTTGGTCGTGCAGGACGCGCAGGACACGGCCTTCATGGCGGAGTCGTACGTCTCCTCGTTGACGCCCATGACGACCGTCGGCGAGTCGTCCTTGGCGGGCGCGGAGAAGATGATCTTCTTGGCGCCGGCGGCGAGGTGCGCCTCGACCTTCTCGGCCGTGAGGAACGCGCCCGTGGACTCGCAGATGTACTCGGCGCCCATGGCCGAGAAGGGGATCTCGGCGGGGTCGCGCGTGTGCGACGTGGGCGTGAGCACGCCGTCGATCTTGAGGCCGTCGTCCGTGGCCTCGACGGTGCCGGGGTAGCGGCCGTGGATCGAGTCGTACTTGAACTGGTAGGCCATGTACTCGTTGGACGCGCCCGAGTTGACGAGCTTGAGGTCGATGGCGTCGGACTTGCACATGATGCGGGCCACGAGGCGGCCGATGCGGCCGAAGCCGTTGATGCCGCCCGCGACGGCCATGGAGGGGGCCGCCTGCGCGGACGCGCGGAGGGGCGCGGCCGAGAGGGAGTTGGTCGTCGACGTGAACGCCGAGGCGCCGGAGACGAGGAGGGTGGCGGCGGTGTACTTCATGGTGTTGGGAGTCTGCGGCGGGGCGCGGGTGTTTTTTGAGGGTAGGTGAGTGTTGGGGGCGGGGGTCAGGGGGGCGGCGGCGGCGAGGGCGGGGGTTTTGCCAATGAAGAACGCGGTCGGGCGTCTCGGGATATTCTTCGCCCGGCGCGGGGCCGCGGGCGGCGACGCCCGGGGGCGCGCGGGCGCGGGGCCGCCTCGGAGGAGGTCCCGGGGGCGGGGAGGGGTGGCGCCGGGGCCGGGGTTGCCCGGGGCATTGGCGGAGCCATTGCACGTGGCGCATGCCTCGCTGACGCGGCAGCGACGCGCCACCCGCGCGAATTTCGACCGGGCAAATTAATCGGAGACCATCGGAGGGTGCCGGAGGGGCGCGGAGGGGTGTGTGGGGGTCTGGCATGGGGTAGGTGGGCGGGGCGCGAGGGCGCATGGTAGACGCTGGCGCGTGCGACGTAAGTGGTTGAGTGCTACTTCGGGTAGGCTCGCGACGATCTCGACCGCAAGTCCGCCACGCCCGAGCCCCTCTCTCTCTCCCTCTATGTATCTGTGTACGTCACACGTTGAGCCGCCGCGGCCGCGCCGGGGAGGCCACTTGGGAGGCCTCGGCGGCCGCAGCTGCCGCAGCGTTGTTGATTTCCAAGCTGCACACTCGACCAGTGCGAGGCGGTGCGCCAAGCTCCACGGTCCATTTTCCGCCTCTACGTCCCTACCCCAGGTTATCGAACGCCGCGTCGGCCATGCGCCCCAGGGCCATCTTGCACCGGTTCGCGATGGCCGTGTTCACGGACGCGACGACCTTGTAGAGCGCGAGGGCCGCGCGCGGGTCGTCGCGCTCGAGCGCCGTCACTTCGCGGACGGCGACGAAGTGCAGCGTCGCGGGAGTCCGCGCGACGCAGGCCCCGAGCGACGCCTGCGGGCGTCCGCGTGACACAAGACCGCGTGACACAACACCGCGCAAAAAGGAGACGCCGCCCGCGCGACCGTGCGCCGCGCGACGTCCTCGGCGCCGAGGACCCAGCCGGGGCCGAGCGTGCTCCGCGCCACGGCGCGCGCGTCGAGGCTCGCCTAGACTCGAGAATTTCACAGCGCGAAAAAAGAGATCGCGACCCGTCCAAAGCGAGCTCGACACCCGGCCCGCTCGAGCGCGTGAGAGACCCGGCTCGAGCGGGTAAAAAGACCCGGCTCGCTCGCGCGCCCCTCGTCC